ATACATACACACCACATCTTCTCTATCCATTCATTCATCAATGGGCACTTAGGTTGTTTCCATATTTTGGTTAGTGTGCACAATGCTGTGATGAACATAGGGGTGCATGTATCTTTTTGAATTAGTCTTTTTCATTCTTTGGATAAATAACCAGAAGTTGGATTCTTGAATCATCTGGCAGCTCTATTCTTAATTTTTTGAGGAAACGCCATACTGTTTTTCACAGTGGCTGCAACAATTTACATTCCTACTAACAGTGTCCGGGACCATATGAAGGGTCTCTGTGCTCCCCCTTCTCCACATCCTTGCCAACACTTGTTATTTATTGCCTTTTTGATAAGAGCTATTCTAACAGGCATGAGGGGGTATCTCACTGTGGTTTTGACTTGCATTTCCCTGATAACTGGTGATGTCAAACATCTTTCCAAGTATTTGCTGGCCATCTGTATGTCTTCTTCAGAAAAATGTCTATTCAGATCCTCTGCCCATTTTTTAATCAAGATGTTCATTTTTTTGTTGTTGAGTTACATGAGTTCCTTATATATTTTGGATAGTAGCCCCTTATTATATGTATCATCTGCAAGTATCTTCTCATTTGGTAGGCTGCCTTTTCATTTTGTTGATCATCTACTTTGCTGTGAAGAAGCTTTTGAGTTTGATGCAGTTTATTTTTGCTTTTGTTTCTCTTGCCTGAGGAGACATATCTAGAAAGATATTGCTAAGACCAATGTCAAAGAGCATACTGCCTGTTTTTTTCTAGGATTTTTCCTAGAAAATTGTTTTTCTTTTTTCCTAGAATTTTTTTTTCTTTTTCCCTAGGATGGTTTCAGGGCTTTCATTCAAGTCTTAAATTCATTTTGAGTTAATTTTTGTCTATGATGTGAGATAGTGGTCTACTTTCATTTTTTTGCATGTGGCTGTCCAGTTTCCCCAACTGGACATTTACTGAAGAGTGTACCTTTTCCCCATTGTATGTTCTTAGCTCTTTTGTTGTAAATTAATAGTCCATAAATGTGTGGGTTTATGTCTGGATTCCCAATTCCATGCCATTGATCTATGTACTTTTTTCCTGCAAATACTGTGCTGTTTTCATTACTATAGCTTTGTAGAAGAGTGTGAAATAAGGGAGTGTGGTATCTCCTACTTCGTTCTTTTTTCTCAGGATTGCTTTGGCTATTTGAAGTCTTTTGTGGTTCCATATAAATTCTAGATATTTTTGTTTAACTTCTGTGAAAAAACATCCTTTGGATTTTGATACAGATTACATTAAATCTGTAGATTGCTTTAGCTAATATCAACATTTTAACAATGTTAATTCTTCCAATTCATGAACACAGACTACCTTCCCATTACTTGTGTCCGCTTCCATCTCTTTCAACTGCACCTTACAGTTTTCCATGCATGGGTCTTCCACCTCCTTATTAAATGTGTTCCTAGGCATTTTATTCTGTTTGTTACAATTGTAAATGGGATTGTTTTCTTAATTTCTCTTTCTGCTAGCTCACCGTTAGCAAATAAAACCACAGCACATTTTTGTATGTTGATTTTATACCTTGCAACTTTACCGTATATTTTTTATTATTGCTAATAGTTCTTGGTGGACTTTTTAGGGTTTTCTATATATAAAATCATGTCATCTGAAAATAGTGACAGTTTTATATCTTCCTTTCCAATCTGAATGCCTTTTATTTCCTTTTTCTTGCCTAATTACCCTGGCGAGGACTTGCAATACTATGTTAAGAGAGGTGAGAGTCAGTGCCCCTGTCTTGTTCCTGATTTAAGAGGAGTAGCTTTTAGTTTTTCATGACTGAGTATGACGTTAGCTGTGAGTTTATCATATATGGCCTTTATCATGTTGAGATATGTTCCCTCTTCTATCACTTTATTGAGAATTTTTATCATGTGGGTGTTGAATCTTGTCAAATGCTTTTTCTGCATCTACTGAGGTGATCATATTGTTTTTATCCTTCATTTTGCTAATGTGCTGTATTACGCTGACTGATTTGCATACGTTGAAACATCCTTACATCTCTGGAATGCATCCCACTGCATCATGGTGTATGAACCTTTAAATGTATTGTTGGATTTCATTTGCTAGTATTTTGTTGAGGATTTTTGCAACTAAGTCCCAGAGATATTGGCCTATAAGTTGTGTTTGTGTGTGTGTGTGTTGTCTTTGTCTGACTTTTGTATCAGGGTGATGCTGTCCTCACAAAATGAGTTAGAAAGCATTCCCTTCTGTTACACTTTTTGGAAGAGTTTGGGAAGGACAAGCATTAACTCTTTGAATATTTGGTAGAACTCACCTGTGAAGTTGTCTCGTCCTGAACTTTTGTTTTTTGGGGGCTTCTTGACTACTGCTTCAATCTCTGTACTAGCGATCAGTCTATTCAGATTTCCTATTTCTTCATGATTCAGTCTTGGACAGTTGTACAACTGAAAGAATTTGTCCATTTCTTCTAGGTTATCCAATTTGTTGGCATATAGCTGCTCATAATACTGTCTTATAATCCTTGGTAACTGTTTTCATTTCTCCCCTTTCATTTCTGATTTTATTCATCAGAGGCCTTCTCTCTTTTTTTCTGAGAGTGTAGCTAATGGTTTGTCAATTTTGTTTACCTTTTCAAAAACCCAGCACTTAGTTTCATTGATCTTTTTCTGTTGTCTTTTTAGTTTCTATTTCCTTAATTCCTACTCTGATCTTTATCATTTCCTTCCTTCTGCTGACTCTGGGCTTTGTTTCTTCTTTTTCTAGCTCCTTGCAGATGTAAGTTTAGACTTCACTTGAGAGTTTTCTTGTTTCTTGAGATAGGACTGTTTTGCTATAAACTCCCCTCTCGGTACCACTCTTTCTGCATCCTATAAATTTTGACATGTCATCTTTTCATTTTTATTTGTCTTCAGGTAATTTGTAAATTTTGCATTTGATTTCTTTGTTGCCCCAGTAGCTGTTCAGCCTCCACATATTTGTGATGTTTCCAGATTTCTTTTTGCAGTTGATTTTGAGTTTCATAACCTTGTGATCAGAAAAGGTGCTCGATATGAATTTAAT